TATATATATATATTTCAATTTATATATATATAAAATTTTATATAACACAAACATCCTTGCTGAAAAAAAGTATTAATTTCTTTCAAAAGAAGAAAAAATTACTGACCCCAAACTAAATGGCAGTGTATATTGTTTCAAAACATTTCTATTTTAAATAAATAAAATTTAAATTTGTATTCATCAAAGAATCCAAAAATTTCAGCTTTGCATCACAGGAATAAATTATATTTTAAAACGTATTAAAATAGAAAACTGTTATTTTAAATTGCAATAATATTTTTTGTACATATACAGAAATCAGTTTTATTTTCTGTAATTTTGATCAAATAAATGCCCTTGGTGATCATAAGAAACTTCTTTAAAAAAACATTTAAAAAATCTTCCAGATCAGCAGTGTATATATATATATATATACATATATTTAATTTGAATTAGAAAAAAACAAAAACAAAGGCACATAGAAAATAAATATCTGTGTATTTTTTATTATATCTTGGTGTTTCTTTCAGGCACAACATATGATACTTCCATGTCAGATGGACATCGTCAACAAACACCAATGCTAAATCAGTATCTTGGGATAAACCGAATGTTTGCGTGTTTGTAAGGGTGCAAATATTTTCCAACACAGCGCTGTCTGCAGTTGAATCAGTTCTCTCCAGACACGCTTTATCAAAGTCATGCCGTTTACTAAATGCTCAAAAGATGAAGAAATTGAAGGAGACCACTGGGGAGGAATGTTTATGGCAGTGAGGCGAGAAATCAAAGCAAGGACATTAGCACATGGGAGATGCAAGAGGTGCTGTGACGGAATGGGAGGAAGGACGATCGGTCGATGAGGAGGAGATAGAGAAAGAGGAAGGCGAAACGATGAGATAGAACAGAGGCCCATGGGAAACAGGAAGGACATCGGAGTGCATGCACGCTAGCAGGAACACTGTAAACAAAATCGACGGGGCCACGGTGTCCTCCAGAAATGCTCCCTGTTTACCCACGAATCCTCTTGTTGAAGGAACGATTCATCGTCAAATGAAAGGCAGCAAATATTTACAGAACCCCGCTCAGCCGATGCTGTGGTGTTGTGTGAAATCATGAAAGGGCCCTTTGATTTCTGTATTCCCTTGGCCATTGATGATAGGGATTATACAGACAGATGGTTTGGTAAGTAATGACTAGACAGGGAGTGTAAGGGGAAGGGCCTAATCTAAGAGGTGGGGCCGGGGGGTTGGAGGGTGGGGTCAAACACTAGACTGTACTTTTGCACAGAATTTCACCATGACAAAGAAAATTATAATTTCACAGTTATAAAAAATGGTAATTTGGCACAGCATAGGATGTACAGCTTTAAGAAACATTTGCACTTTCTGGAAAATACGAGGTCAAGGGTTTTGATCGTTAGTCCAGTAACTGGCTTCTTTGCTCTTCAGAAATGTGGCGTCTGGTTTTATAAAATAACTGAAGTAAATCATGGTTAACTGTCTTAAGACGTATCTGTATCAGGATTTTGAACTTCAAACTTACTTAAAAAAAATTCAACTACTTCAAATAATGTTTGAATAAAAAACATTTATCAGATACACTAAAAAATGTTTGTTTTTCAAAGTTGTAAATTAAACAAAGATTATCAGAGTAAATAATACTTCAAATATTATTTTCAAAATAATGTTTCTTTCTATTTTTTTCATGTTTAATTCAATGTTTTTTTTTACAGATTTTTTGTAATTACTTGAAAAATTTACTTGCAATTTCTGAATGAAAATTGTCTGTTTTTTTTCTACATTTATTTTCAGTTTATTGTTCAAAAGTTTGACGTCAGAATGACTTTTTTTATTTTGAAAACCTCTGTTGCTCACCAAGGCTGCATTCATTTGATCAAATATACAGTGATGTTGTGAAATATTATTACAATTTAAAATAATTGTTTTCTATTTGAATATATTTTAAAGTAATTTATTCCTCTGATGCCAAGCTGAATTTTCAGCATCATTACTCCAGTCTTCAGTGTCACATGATCCTTCAGAAATCACTCTAATATGCTGATTTGCTGCTAAAAAAACATTTCTTATTATTATCTATATTGAAAACTATCTATATTGATATGCTGCTTAATAATTTTGTGGAAACCATTAACATGTTTCCTTGAAATTCCTTGAAAGAATAGAAAGGTAAAAAAACAGCATTTATTTGGAATAGAAATCTTTTGTAACATTATAAATGTCTTTACTGTTACTTTTTATCAGTTTAATGCATCCTTGCTGAATTTAAGTATTGATTTAAAAATACTGATTTGTCAGTAGAGAACTAGACAATACATAGACAAAGGTGAGTAAACCCTTTCCTTATTGCAAACAATGAACAGAGCACATTTATGTTATAATGTGTCTCTTCCATGACTCTAGCGCTTTAGATTGAGGTGTTTTATGACTGTCTTTTACACCAGACACTTGCTAATAGTGCTTATCGTGATATTTTACTCCTGCCCATGTCGTCTCAGAGTTGTTTGAACAGGGTCTTTTAACCCCAAAAGCACTCAATGAAGTCGCCTACCTAAATCAGATAACAAATGACTTAGTGTGTCTGGGAAATCCCTCTGGGACAAAGGTAGGGTTAATCTCATGTAGCCAAAAATTTTTGGGCTTACACCACTTTGAATATTTATATGAAAATCGAACTATCCTTTTAATCACATTAATATTAATATTTGCTTATGTGAGCATGCGATATACAGTAGCACTGAGTGCTGATGTGTCTGTTTATGGTTTCCTGCTCATGAGGAGACATTGATGGGCCTTGTTTGATCTGGCAGTGGAGATGACCTGTCTGAGAGGTGTGTGTGTGTGTGTGTGTGTGTGTGTGTGTGTGTTTGCTTTATTACAGATGGGACTGGGGCACCGTGACCGCTCGGTAGGGCGGCCATGACCTTTGACACCTTCCCAGCAGGCCCTGACACAAGCTCAATGTGTTCTTCAATAACGCGGCAGGATGAAAAGACAGATCCAGCATTCTGGGCTGACGGTGGACTTCCTCTCTGAAGCCAAACACAGGTTGAGGAAATTGCACAGAGGTTGCCTCAATGTGTCGGCCCGCCAAATATTAAATAGTTTGACTCGTAAACCACAAGTTCACATTCGAACAACATTCTGACAACATATATTCTGCAATATGCCTTTCAAAAGTTTGTGGTCGGTACGATTTTTTTATTGTTTTTGAAAGAAGTGTCATACACTGATAAAAATGATTTTGTGGTGAAGTAAATACTACATAAAAACAAATGTAATTTCTACATTAAATAATTTAGTTCAGGCAATAATTAAAAAAATTAAGTAAATTCTAAATTACTACTCAATTTAAGCTTGTAGATATTAAAGTTTGAAATTATAAGCATATTTTACTTGGAATTGTTTATGTTTACAAGGATTCTTTAAGTAAATATCAAAGTTATGATCCCATTTTTCCCATCATGCACAGGGGCATGAATAATTAAAAAGTTTAAAATTGTCACTGTTTTCGAGTTGTATTTACACTGTTTTATGGTTGATTTTGTCACTAGGTTAATCTGGAGTTAATTGTCTACTCAAAATGACCCATTTATACTCAAACACTATCCACTGATTGTTACCGTCATTCTGTATGGTGTACCAAGTATTGAGGTCTCTGTGTTCATTTGGGTAATAATTATATTGAGTGGACATGTTATCTTCAAAGTATAACAAGCTGCCTACTTAATTGCTTACTTGCATGTTTGCAAGTGAACCACATACTATAATAGCATGGTTGTTATCCAGTGCTACATTGTTTGAGTACATTTTATAAACTATAACTGAGGGAAATGTACTTGAGTATTGCATATTTAACAAAATAATTAAGTAGAAATTACTCATCAAACTCTAACTGGCCATGTTAAATTGACTTATTTCCTTTGCTAATTTTACCTAACTTAGTTAAGCAGATTTTACTTAATTCAATACTTAAATTTTACTTAAAATGTATGTGTGCAAAAACTTGCAAAATAAAAATTAAGTAAATCTACTTGTTGTTTTTTTCAGTGTATGTTTACCAAGGCTGCATTTATTTGATCAAAAGTACAGTAAAACAGAAATATTTTGTTTTCTATTTGAATATGTTTTAAAATGTAATTTATTCCTGTGATCAAAGCTGAATTTTCAGCATCATTACTCCAGTCTTCAGTGTCACATGATCCTTCAGAATCATTCTAATATGCCGATTTGCTGCTCAAGAAACATTGATATATTTGTGGAAACTATGATCATTTTTTTTTTTTTTTTAAAGTTCAAAAGAACAGCACTAATTAGAAATAGTTTTTTTTGTTTGTTTTTTGTAACACTGTAAATGTCTATTGCCACTTTTGATTAATTTAATGCATCCTTGCTATATATAAACACAAAAACAGCAAACATGTCCAACATAAATTATTTAATTATGAATATTAAATTATATAAACTATGAAAAAACTACAATTTTCCTTGACCTGAAAAATACGTTATAAACAGGCGCACACCATTAGAGATATTCTATGTATCCCTAAACTGTTATACATGTATTTTTTGTAAGTCTTTTATTTTTATTATGTGTTTTGACAAGCTTTAGTGTATTACGCTTGCCAAGAGTGAATTTGTGTAGGTGCAGAGGGCTTCAAACTCAATAACCCAGCATAACAAATTTCCCCTGTTGGGCCTTTTCCCCTCCCCAGCTCCATCCAGAATATGATTTTATTTTAATAACAGTATGTCTGCTTCTCGCCGTGTTATAAATCAGCAGATCACAGGACAGAAGTGGGGCTGAACGCTCAACTCATCCCCTCTAGACACTTTCCCTTCCTCTGAACATCACCTGTGTTCACACCAATAAAAGAGTAGCAAAAATCATCTCTCGCCTCAGACCTCACCCACCTCTAACTCTGCTTCTTTTGACTGATAAATGGCTTTCTTTTCCCCCTCTCAACTTTAATTGTATGCTCTTTTCATCTTAATGTGATGTTTGTTTCCTGTCGTTTGTTAGGCGGTGACTGGGAGCTTCACAGCTATAATTTTCGATTCGGGGGGTTGTGAGAACTGAAGCAGGTGGAAGAACCGCTGGATCATCTGCCAGCTTTAGAGCAGAGGGTGAGGTTTCATTCTGCTGTATTGTACTGTAATTGTCTCTGTCATTCTTGAAATTGTGGTAATTGCGCTTGACGTTGCCAATTTTAATCTTTTTTAAATCAATGTGAATTCAAAATGGACCCTATTTACTTTTTAAATTCACAATAAGACCAAAAACATGTACTTAAAGGAATAATTCACCCAAAAATGTATATTTGCTGAAAATGTATTGACCCGCCTCAGGCCATCCGAGATGTAGATGAGTTTGTTTCTTCATCAGAACAGATTTGGATAAATTTAGCATCACTTGCACACCAATGGATCCTCTGCAGTGATATTGCATCACAATAATCCACACGACTCCAGTCCATCAATTAAACTTCATCTTGTGAAGCGAAAAACTGTGCGTTTGTAATAAACAAATCCATCATTAGGCCGTTTCAACTTTAAACAATCACTTTTGGCTATAATCCATAATAACGCGTCCTCCATTGAAAAAGTCTATGTCCTATTGTCCGCTCAAATCAAAATTCACCGACACATTTGTTTAACGCTGTTTTTGCTTGTAAACAGTGCTTGATCTGTGCATTTTTCTCTCCTGATTCAGACGAGACAACTTTATGCAACATTATGTATATATCTTAGCAGGTTTGAAGTTAAAACATTTTGTTTCTTACAAACACACAGCTTTTCACTTCACTAGATGTTAATAGATGGACTAGAGTCGTGTGGATTATTGTGATGTTTTTATCAGCTGTTTGGACTCTCATTATGACGGCACCCATTCACTGCAGAGGATCCACTGCTGAGCAAAAGATGCAATGCGGAATTTCTCCAAAACTGTTCTCCAAATCTGAAGAAACGAACTCGTCTACATCATGGGTAGCCTGAGGGTTAGTACATTTTTTTTTGCAAATCTTCATTTCTGGGAGAACTATTCTTGTAATACATGTTCCTGGTTTTATGATGAATGATTCATCAGTGCACATTTTTCCACAGATAAAATGTTTGTCTGATCTTTTATCGGAATAATAGCTTGTTCTGCCACTGATGCAAGAATGTCAGTAATACCTGAGTGGTGCCACCCTTGAAGTCCTTGACTTGCATCCTGCTATCATTTCTTAAGAGCAGTCAGATTCACATTTAATTTTTCAACCATCTGAGCCACAAATGACATCATGACAAAGCAAATTGGCTGATGGCACACCAAAAAACATGCTCAATTCCAGGCCTTTCAATATAGACTGTCATGAGCTGCGAGGTCAAAAGCAGCTGAAAGAGAAAAACATTTGTAAAAGCGCACTAGAAAAAACATGTATTTAATTATAAAGAAATATTTGTGATTTAAATGTTGTTTGCAAAAACATATTTCATTCATTATTTCATATACAGTTAAAGCTACCAAGGGAGAAACAGCCTGTAGATCTTTTTCACTCTTAGAATATACTATGGAATTATTTAAAAATGCATTGGTTTACTAAAGTAAAATGGTTTGTTTTATAATTCAGTGATTTTAAGATAACACTAAATAATATAATTAAGTACATGTATCATTTTCATGTACTTTTTTTGAATGATCTAGAGTCAATTTCATATTGAAACAGTATTAATCATTTAATCAGCAAATTTTTCTTCCACTTTATAGGTCATTCCTATCCTCAGATTACATCTGAACCAAATTATTAATCCACAGTTCCTGATCAATAGCAGTGCATGCATGAGCGTCACAGCAAGAGGGCAATCTTTTCTGAATTTCTCTTCTGAACCTAACAGTCTAATTCTCCTCTAAATTAGCAGTGCTCTGATAAACTGTGCTGTGTTATGGATACATTCCTGGTCTTTCAAGGTTATATAACATTCAGTATGCAGTAGAAGAGTGAGAGACAACTAAATTCAGGTCAGGACACAGCAGGACGCTTTCCTTTTCATGTTTGATCCAGAGGGGTCACTTCTGCAAACTCATTAAGACAGAAATGCAAATGATCTTCTCTTTCACGATATTTCTCTTTTTAGAAGAAAAAAAAGGCAATTATTGTGCCTACTTACTGTAAAAGAAAAATACTAGGCAAGAGCTATGCCTTTAACGGCCAGTGTACATAGTTTACATGTTTATGCTAAATTACGATTTCTAACAATCTAATGTCCAGCGATGATGAAATGCTTGGCTCTTAAATGATGTATAAGCAGTGCACGTTTTCCTTTGAAGTCTTGCTGAAATGTGGTTGTATGTGGTTGTATGTTCTTGTCCTTATGATCAGGTCAGATACCCACAAATATGATAAATTTGGATTTTTATTCTGACTGTTGGCTGTAACATTCAACTGTTTCGAGACTAACGGAGCTGCTTTCCCATACAAAGAAACTTGATTAAATTGTATTAAACTGTTCATTCACATTTATTCATTAGCCAGATATTTTCATATGTGCGTGTGTGTCCTGGAAAATAAATCAGAGAAGTAGCTTGTGGTTTGTTTCTATATGTCCACATTTAATTAGGCCTACATTTTTACTATTAAATACACCAATCATTTTTGGATATAAAGTTGAAAAACCATGTTAATTTCTAGGTTTCTGGCACATTTATATAGATAATATATATATATAAATATCTAATAGTTTTTTTAAATACTTTTTATTAGATTTTTTTTTAAGTGCAGTTCAAAAATGCATGTTTTAATCTCTCTGGCACGCTTGATGTATTTCATATTCTCCATTCATTCACACACACACACACACACACACACACACAGGTTTGTTTTTGTGAAAAGTGGGGACATCCCATAGGCGTAATGGTTTTTATACTGTACAGACCGTATATTCTATTGCCCTACACCAACCCTACCCCTAAACCTACCCCTCACAGGAGGAGCTGCTTTCCCATACAAAGAAACTTGATTAAATTGTATTAAACTGTTATCACTGTTCATTCACATTTATTCATTAGCCAGATATTTTCATATGTGTGCGTGTGTGTCCTGGAAAATAAATCAGAGAAGTAGCTTGTGGTTTGTTTCTATATGTCCACATTTAATTAGGCCTACATTTTTACTATTAAATACACCAATCATTTTTGGATATAAAGTTGAAAAACCATGTTAATTTCTAGGTTTCTGGCACATTTATATAGATAATATATATATATATATATAAATATCTAATAGTTTTTTAAATACTTTTTATTAGATTTTTTTTAAGTGCAGTTCAAAAATGCATGTTTTAATCTCTCTGGCACGCTTGATGTATTTCATATTCTCCATTCATTCACACACACACACATACACACACAGGTTTGTTTTTGTGAAAAGTGGGGACATCCCATAGGCGTAATGGTTTTTCTACTGTACAGACCATATATTACCTTTGTCATTATACAAATTGATGTCCTCATTTGTCACAACAACGCGCACACACACACATATTTTTAAAGCAACAGTGCATTTTTGATAGTATATAGTATGCATTTTTCAGTATATATGCTTACACAATCAATCTGTAGATTTGACTATACTCATTTCTAGCATGTAGTGCCTTTAAAAATTAATTAGACCTATTATTTTCTGCTACTAAAACAATTGATTTATTTGACTAAATTAAAAATACTGTCAGTGCAGACACATTCAATAATTGTCCAGAATCTCTTATTTTAAACTAATAAATGTTTTGATCTTGCTGGCTTGGAGCTATGGTATGCCTTGATGTGCTTCATATGGAGCCTTACATTTAAATAACCATGCATTAAAATAAATCCACACGGTTTACAATAACAACACATCTGTCCTGCTATGCATACATTTCATTTTAAAACAGAAAGGTTCGATTGTTATCCCAGGAGCCAGTCTCAGTGAGTGAATGTACGAGTGTGTGTGTTTAAGGCTCAGTTTTCCGCTACACTCTGGAATGCGGCCAGTCCCGTCTCTCTCTCTCTCTCTCTCTCTCTCTCTCTCTCTCATCCATATTCTGCTTCTAAATCCAAAGCCTTTGATCTTTCTCGCTGTGTCTCCTTTACCCGGAAGAGAACCGTCGCTTTCCCTCTCAGCTGGGATGAAGGCGCGCGTGGAAATGTTGGCCCGTCTCCATCCTCACGCCATATATGGTCATACAAAGGCTGGGGATGAGAGAGGCCGCCGCCGCCGCCAGATCAAAGGCAGCCACGGCTCCGCCCACTGACCCCTCCTCCGCCTGCTTTATAAAGCTCTGCCTCCTACTCCAAACTTATTCTCACGCAAGCCGCAGAAACACTTCCCAATGTTTTTCTTCCCCCTTCTTGTTTTCTGATACATTGAGGGAGGGCTCCTTGAATTGATCTGGTTTTGTAAATTTGAATCTTGCGAGCAGATTTTGTAGCTGCTTACATTTATGCTTAATTCATCGTAACAATTTCATAAAATCTGTTTAATATGATAATTTGACTAAAATGGTACAATGAAAATGTGTGTGTTCATGTTTTCAATTAAATACTGCAGATAATATATGGATTTTCTAAAAGTACTTTAAGGGAAAAAAATGTCTAATTGATTTTTATGTCATTGCCACTGATTATTAAAAATACTTGGACATTTTCAAACAAATATGCCTCCTCCAATTTCAGGGCAATATGCTTTATTTTTAATTAATTCGTTCATTTATTTATTTGAACGTTATTTCTTTTCTAAAGGTTACTCATATGCAATAGAAATATTTCGTAACGTATAAAATATTTTCAAGTTCAAATGTGACCTCTAAGATCAAGTGAAATTAAGCTACTTACAAAAACGTGGTATATCAAACATTGGGTGATTAATTAAACAGTGTATGTTTTTATAAAGAAGCTTAATTACATTAAACATTGAAATTTAGATTACCTTGAGAACAAAAGCAGCATTCAGGTTAACATCAAGTATTCATTAAATCGAGCTATATGCATTATCTGGTTTTGTAAATTTGAATCTTGCGAGCAGATTTTGTAGCTGCTTACATTTATGCTTTATTCATCGTAACAATTTCATAAAATGTGTTTAATATGATAATTTGACTAAAATGGTACAATGAAAATGTGTGTGTTCATGTTTTCAATTAAATACTGCAGATAATATATGGATTTTCTAAAAGTACTTTAAGGGAAAAAATTGTCTAATTGATTTTTATGTCATTGCCACTGATTATTAAAAATGCTTGGACATTTTCAAACAAATATGCCTCCTCCAATTTCAGGGCAATATGCTTTATTTTTAATTAATTCGTTCATTTATTTATTTGAACGTTATTTCTTTTCTAAAGGTTACTCATATGCAATAGAAATATTTCGTAACGTATAAAATATTTTCAAGTTCAAATGTAAGATCAAGTGAAATTAAGCTACTTACAAAAACGTGGTATATCAAACACGTGCTAAAGTCAACAAACTCATTTGGACTCCACAGTCCTTATTTAAGCGAGAAAAAGCACTAAAAGAGCCAGGATGACCAGTATTTGCTTTAAACACCACATAAATGATAGCTTTTCATATTTTTAGTTTTCCAGGATTTTTATTCATTCAGCCATTTAACTTTTTTAAACCCACAGTCGTAATTTAATTGTCAAAGAAGGCTGTGTTGATCAATATATATGTTTTATTGATCACAAAGACATTAGCATTTAAATAGATTTTGATTTGAGATTTTATTATTTATTATGTTTGAGATTTATAGTTTCTCAGTTTATATTTATTCAACAATTCATGTCATTAAAACATGAATATAAACAGTTATTAAAAAGAATGTAAATATAATTTTGCAATGCTGCTACTTCTACTACCAATGGCGAAGTTACATTTTGTTGTTGCTATGATTATTGTAATTTGAGATTATTAATAATTGTTTAGTAAAGTCTGCCAGATAATGGGTGCAATATGCACATATTTTAATATTTCTGAAACGGCTTATTATGCCTCTGATTGGTTTATTGTTGTATTCTTTTACAATTATCCACAACAATGCTATATGCTTTTTTTAATTAATGTATACATTTTTTTAATATGCATTAAAATCAGCACATGCCGTTTATAGTGGCGACAAAGTTATTTGCCTGTTCTTATATAAATTGCATATTGCATGCAATTTCACACAAAGGAAATAGGAAACAATTATTTAAATAAAAAAATTAAAGTCTATATCCATCTGAATTTTGTGAAGCAGTTGACAGATGTGTGTGCTGGTGTAAATTCGTTTCAGTTTATTTTTTGTGTTTCTCTGATCATGTGTGTTTCTTCCATTACTACCTGGTCCTGTGAATCAAGTGAATGGAACTAAAGAATAAAAAGATGCTTTGCTTTATTAATTAAATATATTTCCTCCTGGCATCAACAGCATGCAGGGTTATAGCTTGACATGAGAAAGAACAAACTGATGGGCTAAATGTTAATTGGGAAGGCAGTGCAGATCCCTCACTCTGCTGGAAGGCACCCAGAGGGAGCTGAACTCCAAATGGAGTTTATTTCCCGGCACTTCTGATTCATAATGCGGAGCGAACAAGAATAGTAACGAAGCCTTTCTTTTTCCTTCCTCAAGATACCGCATTTGTGGTCAGACTCCACAGCAGAGAGAAAATGACTGAGTTAATCAATGTATAAAAATGCAAGATATATTTTCTTTATCGATGCTTTCTGCTAAAAATATGATAAACGCATACCTTATTCTGTCAGCTTTGGTTTTAGGATTGAACAATTTTTTCTTCAGAAAGCAGGAAATGCTGGACAATGAAAGAAATAACGTTGCACGTTAGCAATTAAGCTGTTAATATCTCTCTCCTACATTTTTGAACAGGCAGCTAGACAGTCCCAAATAACACCAGACTCTTATCATGAGAAGCACAGGGACCATCTGGATGATGGTAAGTCGTATGTTTTGGGGAAAAATGTGTAATATTATTAATGTGTGGTGTAAATGCTTAAAACAGCATGCTTCTACAAAATCATAACATTTTCATTCACTTATGTTAAACTATACATTTGCAAAGAAAGCAATTTTTTTCATATATATTCTCTTTTTAAAAAAAGTCTTGCAGTTCTAATGCAAAACAGATTTTATTTATATTTGATTTGATTGATTGTTTCTGATGGCTTTGTGAAGGGAATTTCTCAGCCCACAGTCTGTTTGGTGTCGACACGTAATGACACGTGTCAGGGAAGAGCCCCATCTTCCTCTGATACGCTGCCCTCCAAACACACCGTCTGAGACGCTATTGTCAAGAGCAGCATGTTGCTGTGATGGCCCGTAGTTCATTTGATCTCTGTTTGCACCCTGGTCTTTTATACGCCGGGAAGGGTGCTGGGGTCACAGTGAAGTGACTTGATTGTCTTTCCCCCTTTGTTCTCCGCTTGCTGTGAATTAGGATGCAAATTTTCCGCTAAACACTTCAGTGGCCTCAAAACGGCTCCCCTGTTTTAGATACTGCTAGGAACTGCTTGGTTTCCTGTTTAGCACTTGCATTTTTAAAAATGTGACATTTGGTCAGGAAGTTCATTTTGATTCATTTAATTGCCGCTAAAAGTTCAAGACTCGAGAACTTTGACTGGACCGCATAAAACATTTATTAACAAAATACATTTTAACCATGCCTTTCGTTTAAACTGCATAGCATTTCATAGAGAATATATGGGAAATCTTATTAATTCAAGCTGATTTATTTTATTCTCTAACAGGTAAGCATCAAGACATGTACAGCAAAGGCCACCCGTACCCCAGTTACCCAGGATACATCATGATGACCAATATGAACAATGAACCCTACATGAACAACGGTGCTCTCTCGCCTCCCATTCACAGAACGGTGAGTGTTATCCCGTGCTGTTCGCTCCGGAGCTCTCACTGTCCACCAGTGAAATTTTTTTTTGGGGGGGGGGTTAAAAAAAATGGTGGATACGCTAGCAGCTGTCCATCCTAATCCTGTTTGGTAGTTTTTGTGTGGTTAAGACTCCCTGTTTGGCAGTTGACTGGTGCCTGGAAGAGATGGCCGCTGCAGGCTGTCTGTGAGCCCGATGAGAGACAGGGCTTTCTCCGCTGAGCTCATCTCATCCATTGTTTGCACAGCTCTGAATTCAGCTCCTTTATCAGTCTGCGGCCGTGCGATTATGGTTTGGTTTCACCGCTGTGGTGACGGACAGCAAACAGAAGATGATGCAGCAGTTGACCTGTAGTTGATCTAAGCATTTGGGATAAATGGTTCTGACATTGTTAACATTTTTATTGTTTAGTTCTTTTTAAGCAGTTTTACTTAAGCATATACATTGTTACAAAACAAGATGTGGTTTAGCAGTTTATTGACAACTGGGTCAGCAATGTAGTCACTGGAACATATGTGTGAATCCTTTGTGGTTTAAAGCCATCGCTTGGAAGGTACAAAACAAAAATCCACAAATAATAGCTGAATGTTTCATACCGATGCAAAGATTTTGCAGAGGGGTTGCAGAAATAATTTGCAACTTACCCGAATTTTGCCTTTTTTTCCCTCTCGGTGTGCAATAAAATCCCAATCGTGGCAGATCCATTTCCTCAGCCTCCACTGTCTGTTGTCTCTCTCTCCTTTGCGGTGGCTCAAATATTCAGACACCGTATCTCTAAGGTCTGGGATCGGTTTTCAGCAAGATCAAAGGCATCTTATCCCCCCCACCCCTTCATTCCCCTGAAGTTTGGATTGATTTCCATTGGCCATACCATTCCAGTGCCTGGACTCCCACCCAGTCATGAGTCATGAAGAAGACAATTTTGTAGTGGTCAGCAGATTTTTGGGGGGTATTGCTACCTGGTGAAATGCCAATCGTATGAGTACAATGTTCTCCAGCCCCCCCAACGGTAGTGGATATTGGCATTGGTGCTTGGTGATCCATGAAAGCTTTACATGTTGCTCTAATCTGATGGACGACATCTGGAAATGGCATCCAGGGCTCCTTTGAGATGACTAACTTGGGGTCAGCAGATAATGTTTCCAGGTAAACATTGGGGCTGCATTGTCTCTGGTGCCTGTAGCTTTGAAGTTGTGATATTTTAACATTCGTATGAAATGGCGAATTCGGAATTAAGACAACCTAGGCATTTCCTCCTTTTGAAATGATTTCCCTTGCGCTGGGGTGTTTCATGTATTTCCGCTTATCTCGGCCCCTTTTAATCAGTAAGAGAGAAGAATGGGGTGATGGGGTCCTGGATTTCATTGAATTGTATAATCTGTTCTCCATCCCCTCTCTTTCATTTCTTCTTAAATTGGATTATTTAAAGCTTGAACACAAAGTTTCATCTCACTAAAATTTTTTGAGATGTTACATGTTTGACCTGTGACCCATAAATTATTTTAAATGTTTAAATGTCCTCAGATTTTCCAGAATTTTCTGATCTGAAGGCTTTTTCACTCCAAATGTGTTACAAAACAAATAGCGAAAAGGAAAATGAGTGGTATACTCACACAAAGAGTAAACAAATATTTGTTATAGTTAAACATAGATGGGATTTGCAGGCCCGTCCACACGGAGACGCGTTTAGCTGTATAGGCATGCATTTTGTATTGTATAGGCGTTTCGTCCACACGGATCCGGCGTTTTGGGAGAGTGAAATCGATATTTTTGAAACCGGGTCCCAGAGTGGATAAATCTGAAAACGCCGCCCTTGCGTTTTCGTGTGGACAGCGAATCCGTATATTTTCTGAAACGATGACGTCATCAGCCCACATCTCGCCCCTAGTCAGACACTGCTACGTCACGTAACAGCAACAAAAACATGAACAAACACCGAACAATTGTCTTTTTATTAACTAACATTAACACAGATTAACAAATGTATTGTTCCATGTTCGTTTGTATACTGCACGCAAGGTTTATGCACATAGTCCAAGTCTTCTTCTCCATTTTTAGTGTATCTCTGTGGCAGAATTGCAGCGCCACATGCTGGTCTGGCATGTATACTACATCGTTTTGTGTTGGTTTCATGGTTTCGTGTGGATGCAGATATTTCTTGAGACGAGGGGAAAAAAAGATCGGATAGGGAAAGATCTGGGTTCGTGTAGACGTAGCCTCAATGACAACCAAATTTACTCCAGTATAGTGGTTTGTGTAACGCACTTTTCGGTTTTACCGTAGATTTTGGATATTTGGTTGTGAAGTTGTTATCAGCAGATTTTACTTACTCATCAAAGAATACAAATTTTATCATCGGAAAACATTGCAAATAGCATTTGTTTTATTGTAATTTTTTGTTTTTGACAAGATGTGCATATTCATGTTCAGTGTGCAAAATTCTCAGAGAAGAGCATTTGCGAATTTAGAAACTTTAGAAACTTAGTTAGAAAAATGAATATATGAAAATGTTTTAAAATATGGACGAACCTCTACTGTAATACATGTGCTGGAGCTGCTGGTGGGGCAACTTCAGTCCTTGTGCCGTTTTCCTCCCCCATCCTGATTGGCCTCTGGCAGTGGAGCTTGGGAAGGACCGACCCAAGATACACACTCACACTCAGCCTGCTTTGATGTGGGATGTGACGGATCTCTCAGCGTGGACATGCCGTGGAATCACAAACCCCCCCAAACCCTGGCTTTACCTAAAGAGATTTCACACAGCTGGATCTTCTACTCTCAATCTGTCCATTTCTGCACCATTCAAAGAAACGACATTTCCCAGCAGCCCTTGTGTGTGGTTTTTGTAACAATATTTATGAACCACATTTTTATTGTGTTTTAATAGTTTTCAGTATTATTGTTCTTTACATTTATAATATGCATTTCTAAATTCACCCATATGCCTCCCTGGTGCTCTTAGCACATACTTTAGACACGTATCATATCGTCTTTTGATGAAGGCAAGCAAAGCGCACCGCCCCCACACATGGGTGATAAGGGGCAAACAAGTAGCCGTATCATCTGCTGAGCAGGTCTGAACACCAGCACGGCCTAGACCTCGCAGATTTCGGCAGCCTACGGCCCCTTTGAAGTCCACTGGTACAGACCCAGGGTTTTGGAACAGAGGCCCATTGATACTGTGTTTACATCGGCCGGTTACCACAGCCATATTGAATCCATGTGTTGGATGTACAAAACAAAAAGGCTGGCAGTGTTATTAGGTGATTTTTGAAAGGTTTGCCTCCATGGGGCATTTCACCCCCCTGAAATATTACTGTCAAACGACCCACTGAAATATGTTAATTGAAACGTCATTACAGGAGACTCCACAAACTCTGATATTCTAAAGGGATTGTCCAAATTAAATTGCTTTTGTGTGTATTCAAGCAGTGCAGTTATGTTTATTTATCTTAGCTCTGCTAGTCCCATTTGCCTACACACACACATATATGCTATATATATGTCCATCCAGATTTTTAGCAGATGTGATTTAACAAAAATATTCATATTATGCAATGTCAGGTTTATTAGACAACCATATATACCCTATATATACTACAAATGTATATATACCCTATATATACTGCTCAGCTATTATGCAAACCAGCGGGAGCACCTGCTGAGATGATCATGAGGGCACATGCAAGCGAAGTGCCACGTTGTGTTTTGTCTTTGCACCACAGTTGTCATCACTTTTCCTGCATGTTATGTCTCCAGGCCCGGCTGTGACCTCCATCACCCTCCAGCAGCCTTTTTAAGCCCTGCTTTCTTTTGAAAATAGTAGCTGCTGCTCTCGTCTCAGTTTTGTTTGTTTTTCATTTTTCATTTTCATTTATTCATTGATGTTTTTTACTCCTTTTCATTTAATATTTGTTGCTTCATTTTGTGTATTCCCATTCCCAGTGTCAGTTGAAGCTTGTTTAGTCTCGGATGACCCGAAATCCCCATGTTTTTCTAATTTTACAATTGTTTGTTTGAGAAGCAACATTAGATGCAAGTCAATAACCCTCTTCTATCAAATCACGCTAATTGGATAACTGTTGGAGATTGCGTAGTATTGGTAGTTTTTGTGCTGTAGCAGCGTGTAGAAACACCAAGTTGAGCGACTTGTCAAACAGTCGTCATCTCAAGAGAAATTCGTCAGTGACAGTGATTGGAACCGCATTGTTAGCATGCATGCATGCATCTCTGAACTTCATTTGCACTGCTTTTTACTGATCAATAGAGGCTTTGTGCCACTAGGTTTACATTTTTCATATTTTTCTGAAGCTCATTATTTTTTTTTATTTTTTTTTTGCTGGGCTGGATCAGACACCACTGAAATATTCATGCTCCCTGGTGTAGGAGTTTGGTAAAGGGTTTCTCGGAGTTACAGTACAAAAGATGGCTTGCAACCAGGCTTTATTAGCAAGGCTGTTTAATGGATGTATAGATGTAGCCCCCCCCCCCCCCTCCTTTCTTATGTGCACTCACTCACTCACTCCCTCTCTTTGTGTTGCACAGCAAACCATCCCTCTGCCTCCGAATTCTCAGACTCTTTCTATTTCTCATAGTCAGTCAACTCATGTTTGCACCGGACGGGAGGGGAGGGCTTTGCTATCAGCTCTTTTTGTGTGGTCTTGGCCATAAAAAACACTCTGTTCTTTGAATGTGAAAAGAGCCTGTCTTTAATTTTTGGGAAACTCGTAAAAGTTTGTCGCTCCTTTCATATCTGCCGCAGAATTGAAAACAAATGCTTCCTTTTTTCATCCGCCTTTGAACTGGCCAATTATGGAGTTGTGAAAATGAAAATCACCCTGTCAATCTCTCTTGCTCCCTCTCCTCCTTCTTTTTTACTCCTTTCTTTACCCAGCTTTTTCATTTTAACTTCGCTCTCTTTGATTTCTCTCCTTCGCTCCCTTGCTTTTGTCTTTTTTTTCTGTCTTCCCTTCTCACTCATTTGTGT